TAGCGCCGCGTTATTGTGGGATGCCTCATACAAAATGGGCACGTTCAGAAGGCGCAACAGCGTTGTTGTGTACTTCTGATCAACTGAACAGTTGCGTGTTAGATGATCGTAATATTTTTCTGATCATTTGAGACAACATGTTGGTGTGTAGTACCTTTGAGAGTTGAATTTGACAGCTAATGTATCAAGCCGTTCAGAAGACTCATAACGATCACGGATTTTGTTAGCAACGGTTTGGCTCAACTGCTGCACCTTCTGAACCGACCCATTGTATGGGCATGAGGATTTTTGACAGTTCCTTGGCGCTTGACGCGCCAATTTAGGGATGGCAGTTAGAAACTTTCCATCGTCAACTCCTTCCGATTGCTAAGGGTACCGTTCCCTCTGCATGAAAATATTTCTTGTTTGTAAATTTCATTCTTGCTTACAATGTTGCATAATTTTCCTGTTTTCACACTTCGTATTCTGGCTTACTCACAACATTTGTTTTTTTTTTTTCTGGTGATCATTGCGTCCCGGTGTTTCGACTATACGGAGGTAGGTGGAAATAATAGTTAACTTGCACCGATTTCGCTAAAACTTGACATGTGCTCTAATTTTACTTGGGAATAGAGAATTATGAAATTTGGTAAAAATGGGATAATTACCATGCACTTCACTCTTATGGGCTTAAACATTAAATTTCATGCGATTTCGATGAAATTTAGTTTGTGCTCTCTATTTTATTTGAAAACCTTAAATATGGGAAAGACGTTATGTCGGTCTACAACTCGCAAAAAATGTGGGCGCAGTCATTAAATGTAATGGAATTTCGGTTAATTTTTGTTTCTTGCTTTTCACTCTCAGAAAACAAAGGTTTTACGTTAAAAATTACGTCTGCCGATTCTCGGTGTGATTTTTCCATTCTTCGAAAAATCATTTCGCGAAATTACGCAAAAAGAAGCTGAAATTGAAAATTAAAAAATTCGAAAATTACATATATTTATTTACAAAGTCGCGCGAAAAATTCCAATTATATGTTCCAAAACTACATAAAATTCTCTAAAACATCCGTTTAATTTCAAGACCTGACTAACCGGTACTCACTTTTTTTTTACTAATATTCTTCAGCATTTACATTTCAGAGTCAATTTTTTTATTCGAGTATGCAGTTTTGTAGCCCATACAATTTTAGTACAGTGCTAGCCAAACAGAGGGACGATTCGACGATTTTTGTGACCCAATGATGAATTTTCTTTATGTGCAAATTTGGATGGTTCTCAGCTTTGAAGATAGTTACACAGGCAACTAAAAATTGCAGTGTAAAAACTTGTGGAGTGTGGCAGCACTAGTAGTAGTTATCGATAAGTAGTTTTCTTCTTTGTGTCATCATTTTTTGTGTAGTTTTTTTTTTAGTTTTGTGTTGTGTCGTTTTGTACTGGTACATATTTTATTGAACAAAGGGAATTATGAATAAGTTCTTTAGCAAAACTTGCAAGTATGAACAGTTTTTAATGCACATAGTTAAGTTGCGGTTTGAAAAAAACAAACAATTAAGATAAAAATGTGATTTTATTGCAATTAAAACTATTTTTAAGTAGTTGTTTTCTAGGGCCAAAATTTGGAATTTCTTATATAAGTTAATTTTTGGAGCTTTACGGCCGGTTAAAACTATTCTTGTTAAAAGTAATGCTCAAGAAGCTGTCCTTTGACTTTATTTCTAAAAATCTATTTTGTCCTTTATTTCAAAACTTGATCATTGAAAGTACTTTTTTGATACGATATCATACATGCATGTACATTAAAGTGGTCCAAAAAAATTTTTTCCAAGATAGGGTTTGGGACACCTTCCAAAATTGTTCCTCTTGTTGAAAGAGGATGCTTATGATGCTCATATTTTACTCTAGAAGTATTGTGTACATATTTTAATAAATAAATTGGTTAAATAACCTAAGAACATTTCAAATTTAAATTATCTAAAAAAATATCACAAGCTTCAGTTGTCATGACAACAATAGCTTTTTATGAAAATCTCCAATATTTTTGTCAGTTTCATAGCAATCTAGTAGCGCATTTCTAGGTCATTGAGCACCCTGTATTGGTTGCAGTAGAAGACTGAAAGTTGGTATAGGAATTACAAATATCAAAAGGAAAAAACTAAGGGGGTGGATGAAAAATTTTTTCCCCATACAAAAATTGGACCACTCTAATATACATATTAGGGCTGTGCGATTAATTGATTACTCAAAATTTTAATTAATCATAAAGTAAATAACTCAATTATTCGATTAATTGGAAATTATGATTACTCAAAAGTTCAGTTACTCGAGTAATCAAGATTTTTGATTAACTAAAAACAAAAATATTTGAGTAATTTGCTTTATGATTAATCAACATTTCAACTCTTTACATATGTATAAAGTAGTTAAAGTTCCTTGATACTTTGAAACAACGTTTCTGTTTTCAAAAATTAAAACGAAAATTTTTTTCATATACAGAATGTAAAAAAGAAAATAAGCATTTTCCAAAGTAACCTCTTTTAACGAGCAAAATTATTTTTTTGAGTAATCATATTTCAAGTAACTCGATTAATCATCTTTTTGAGTAATCAAAATCTTGATTACTAGAGTAATTGATTAACCGAATAATTGATTAACCAACTTGCTCGAGTAATCGAATAATCGCACAGCCCTAATACATATACAATCAACATTCAAAATGATATTCTAACTGACGTATGAACAAAATATATATTTATGTAGAATGTGCAACACCCCGAAAAAAAAACAACGTCAACTTCTCGTGACTTGAAACTTGCACTTTATTAAATTTGTCGATTGTGATATTGTGCACTGTTTACAGATATCAAATTTGTTGTGATTTTTTGAAAAGCCTCCCATCTCCATATGATTAACATGAGCTTGGAAATACTTTGTTTTTTCGTGTTCTGACAAACGCGAAACTTCGAGCTAAAACACCTATCGCAAAATCCTTCAAAAGTGTCAAGACTCAAAATTGGCCATTTGCTAGAAAACCCTAAAGACTATTTCTTAGCAATTACAAAAATAAAAACTTTTGAACTCACCCACGTTTGAAGAACTTGTGTGATATGTACACACTTACATACATATGTTTGTATATGTACATAAGGGTATTACAAATAAAATGAAATCGAAATTTTAATGCTCTCACCCCCTAGGATCGTTCAATATCGAAAAAAGTAGACACCCTTGTTTTTTTTAATATTAGAGGATACTCAAAGCCTTCAAAGTTTCCCATGTATTTTATATGAAAAAAAACAAGTTTTCTCAGAAATGGTGTAGAATACTTGAAGATCTATATTTTACAATCGGCAAACTCTGTTTCTCTTCAGGAGACTTTAAGCAATAATACCCAATTGTTTATTAAAGCATTTTTTGTTTAATGTTAACTAGGGGCGCTGCATCTGCGTTGCCAAAGGACCTCACGTTTTTCGCTATGATTATTATTAGTTTTATTTTTTAATATGTAAGCTATTTAGAAAGACTACAGTTATCCACCACAACTGTTTTTTCTTTCCGCTCGCCCCCGACCGCCAATGAAATTACAGTTCGCTTTTATTTTCTCTTTTACCGTTGAACGGTTGGTTGTACCACGCGTCGGTCGGTGTTCTTATTCGCTTGCGCGTTAGCAGCTGTTCGTATTCGCTCGTTGGTTGATGGTTTGGTTGTGCTTCGCTTGGAGTGCCGTTTGCAAATGTGACAACGTTTCCACCGACAGTCGTTGTGGGCCGTTTGGTTGCTTGGTCGCCTAGCTAGTTAGTTGGCTGCCTGGCTGGCTGGTTGCTTGTTTGCTGACTGCCTGCCATACTGTTGTCGGCATTGCGAAGCTGTCTTGTAGCTGTCGGTAGCTGGCAAGCAGTAACGGCAACCGCGCGCGCCCGTGCACACGACGAACACTTTACTGATTCACGAAAAATCANCGGTAGCTGGCCAGTAGTAACGGCAATCGCGCGCGCCCGTGCACACGACGAACACTTTACTGATTCACGAAAAATCAAAGAATCACCTTACTTCTGAATATTGGCATATATGCTCGCTCTCCGCCGTTTCGTTGAATCTTCGGTGCGCGCCTAGGTGAAGGGGAAGCCTGTGGTGGCATTGCAGCAGCAATAGCCGTAGATGCAGCACACAAACTGACTGCGCGCTCGACTGGCTATGGTACGCGCGCGCGAGAGAGTGAGAGTCAGCTGCTGCATGCGGAGAGCACAAACAAACACGGCACGGAACGCATGGATGGGGCGCGCACAAAACGTGTGTGATAAGGTGATTCCAAAGGAAAGGAGGCATAGAGCATCGAGCCAGCCATCGACAACAGCAGCAGCAGCTATGAACGCTTAGCGTACGAACAGCTGATGCGGTTTACGTTGCTTTAAATGCTTAGACAAGGCAGCGTCAAACAGCAGCTGAAACAACAAAGAACCCACCAACTCTTTGTGTGCTTTTCGTTGTTTCGTGGCTTTTGTTTTGCTCGCTCTGTTCGCCGGCTGGACCTCGTCGTGGGGCCAGCAGCTGTCTGCTGGTGCGTCCGTTCGTCCGCCAGTTCGACTACCCACCTAACAGTGAGCTCGTGGGTTGTGATAAACGGCAGCAGTAGACGCAGCGCAGACGTGTGGATTCCCCGATTTGATGACAAATGCGTCTATGATGCGCGCGGCTGCCTAGTTGGCTGGCTGGCTGGGAGGTTGGCAGCCTTCGCGGCGCGATCTTAATGTAAATTTTATTTTGACTTTTGCTATCATCGGTGAACGTGATAGGAACGCGAAATTTTGATATATACGTTGTGCCAGTGTGGTTATAGCTTTGCTATTTGGAGTTGTACTTTTGGTTGAATACGTGATGCGCGATGTAAAAAAAGTTCTGCCGAAGGAAAATGATAACGAAAATTTTAAGTTTTTATGCAATATTTTTTACTTGTTTTGCATATACATACTTACTTACATACATATATAATTTATAAACTTTTTCTTCTTTCCTTTCCAGAAGATGTTTTCTAAGCCATGGCCTTTTGCAGCCGATAATTGATCCTAAAAGACATCCAGGTGTAACTCAATCGGATTTCGCAACCCATCACATCCCATCTACGAAGCAGCAGCAAAGCAATGAATGATACAAACAATCAGGCGCCCGAAGAATCACAAAATCTACCACAGAACATTTCGTACGCCGCCAGTCGAGTTAACCACAACCAAAGCGCCGCCCTGGCTCACGTGCTGTCCAGCAACCTAAGTGCAGAAGAAGAACAGGAGCAAATTGTCACGTCGACCTCGAGCGATACGCATACAAGCATAGCCGGTCATTTGCCGCACCTTGAGGCATTGATCACATCGCCGGCGCGCATCACCAGCTCCACCGGGAATGATTGCAGCTCTTCGCCGCAGCGTTTGTTGTCCACGACGTGCAGCAGCAGTAGCGGCAGACAATCGACCCAGCAACGCGGCGACATAACGACAACGGACGCCTCCAGTGAGGATGAATCACAATCGCCACACCAATCGACACAATCATCCTTCAGTGGCCGAAAAATTTTAAAACCTAGCGGCGTGGACCGCGCTACCCACGGTCTAGATTCGGTTATGCCGACCACTTCTGCTGCAGCGGCGACACGTACAGCAGGCGTTAGGAGCGTAGAGGCGGAATTAAGGGCTAGCAACAGCAACAAAAGTAGTATTAGTATCTTAAGCAACGGCGGTTTGGAGCACACGAACGGCCGCGACGACAACGCAGGTAGCGCAAATATGGTTGCGCGCGAGCAGACAGCAGTGACTGTAGCCTCAAGTGGTGAGGCTATCGCTGGGCACGCAGTGTCAATAGGTGCCGGAGGCGGACAAGGACAAGCGGTGCCAGCCGAGCAAACCACCGAATCCCACAAGATCATCTTGAAGTTACCCAAGCCGAACGCCACGAGCGTTAATGCGCGCTCCCTTGAATCTCAGAGCAATACAGAATCAATGTCCGGGGAGGAAGGCGCCGCAAGCCACAGCGGTACCGAGTCGACCCGCAAAGTGGAGCCACTTAAAATCAATTTGCACACGCACAATAGCCCGAACATTGTTCCGAAAATCACAATTAAGCCCATAATGAAAAAAGCGAACGACGTCGCGTCCTCGGATTGCTCTTCCTCTGCCGAAGATGATGCGGTCGCCGAGTCGTGCACCACACGCAGCGGCGCACAAATACCGAAGCTGACCATCAAGGCGTCGGCAGTTGTCGGTGGCAGTGACGAGCCACACATTCTACCCAAATTGACGATAAGATCGGCCAATGACAGCTCGGATAGTTCCATTGTACCGAAGCTCACCATCAAAATGTCCGATTCGCAAGCCGCTTCGCACAGTAGCAGCACACAATCGGGTCCGTCCGCATCGTCGGCGAGCAGCGCAGCATCGACAAAATCACACAGTGAACACTCGCCTCCCCCACTACCGAAACTCACCATAAAAACGTCGTTGGATGGCACCAGCGAGTCGATCATGTCCACGATATCGCCAGCCTCGTCCTCTTCGTCGTCATCGAGCACATCCTCGTCTGCAGGAGTACCGTCGATGTCTTCCATCTCGGCCACCGCCTCGTGTACGGTTTCAAATGTCACCAACAACGCCTGTTCTGTGCCTAAACTGACGATTAAAACGTTGCTGCCAAAGCACGAGGAGCTGGTGCCGAAGTTGACTATAAAAACCAATGCAACTGGCGCCTGTGTAAGCACGTCAACGGCAGCAGCTGCAGCTGAGGATCACGGCGAAGCCCATGATGGCGGCAACGTTGCTGGCAGCAGCAGCAAGATACCCAAACTTACCATCAAAACCGGGCAGGAGCACGCGGTCATCATAACGCAGCACAATGACGACTCCAACGCACAGGTCATACCAAAGTTGACGATCAAAACTAAGTCGTTGGATGCAGAGGAGTCGCTAAGCGACTTGAGTGAGGACCCAGCACCGCCACCCGAGAAGATACCCAAGATAACAATTAAGACGCACGAAGTTGCCGCCGAGATCACTTCGCCGAAGTTTTGCATCAAAGCATTGCAGCAGCCAACAGAGTCGGAGCACGCACACGTCATCCCGAAACTGACTATCTCCATGGCTAATCTGGAGGGGAGTGCAGCGCCACAGTCGCCCAAGCAATCGCCGCTAGTGGTGCGGCAGTTGTCAAGCAGCACACGCAAAGAGTCGCCAGAAAGACTGCCCAAGCTGATGATCTCGCGCCAGGATGCGAAGGGTAACAACTGCGACACGGCAGTGGAGAAAGTCGTTCCCAAGTTGACGATCAAGACCAACTGTCAGGATGGTGGCGGCAGCGAGTGCATGGAGAAAATACCCAAACTGACCATCAAATCGATACCAAACGTAGAGCAGCAATCCTCGGAGGAGAGTGATGAGGGCTTGAGCGGCGAATCGTCGCCACCTCTATCGGCAGCGGAGGAGGCAGCTGCCAACAAAGTGGTACCCAAGCTCACCATAAAAAATCTTTCGTCGCCAACGTTGAAAATGAAAGCGGTTCTGGAGGACAAAACGCGCAATGCTTCAAAAAAGTGTGGAAAATCCAGCGACCCAAAAGGCGGCACCGACACAAGCGCCGCGTGCGGCGTGCCGCAAAGGACGCTGGATCCACAGCAGACTGCTGAGTGTAGTGCACGCGAGCATATGGTGAACGGTTGCGAGTCGAGCAGCAGCCAAGAGTTCTGCGGCTTCAATGACAGCGCGATGTTTGCTGAGGAGGAGGACATCGAGGAGCCGCGTCGCAACTCCGACGACATGGACATCGATGAAGGGCTGCAGCAGCACGACCCACAAGTGTTCAACAACGTATTCCACGTCAGCAACGGTGACTCGCTGCGCAATGAAAACACTGAAGATTCGCAACTGATGCAACCACCGCTACCCGCAGACGATCTGTCAAATGTGGTGGACACCGTCGACCTAACATCCTCCCCATCGCCCGGCTCGTCGCCTGCGCACTTCACCTACACCGATGCGGACCCCCAAATAAGCGATGCACAACAACCGCCGCATCCCACCATACTCATGGAGCGGCTGCAGCGAGAAATGAGCGTCATACAGACAGCGCCGCCGATGGAAAACACCAACAGTTTCCTGCTCAATCAACTGAATGCACCGCTAAATGTAACAAAGTACGGCGTGCCACCGCCTCTGCAACCGAAGCCACTGCAGTCGCAGCAGCAACATCATCACCAGCAGCACGCGCTCCAACAGTCACAACCACAACAACAGCAACAAAGGCAGCAGCTGCAACAGCAAATAAGCAATAGCATCAAATATCCGCAATTGACGGAACGCCTGATGGCCAACGGCGCGCGTATTCGGCAAAACTCGACCATAACGTGCGCCGGCAGTTTGGCCATGGCAATGAACAGCGGATCTGCTAGCTACAATATGGCAAATCAGCAGGCAGCTCAGCCGGAGAAGGTGATCGATTCCATTGAGATACTGGACACACCCGAAGGCAGTCCGCGTTTGACGTTGGACGATACCGCTGCGTTGCCCAAAAATCTACACATAAACAACGAAGATGGTTTGAATGATGCCGCCATTAGAAGAAACGCTGCCTATGAAGAAAACAGCGCGGATGTGTTGAGGCGCAACAACAATGTTATGGACGATGCAACTGCGTCAGCGGAGAGAACAAATCAAGCGAATTTGAAAAGGCAAGCGGACGCCATGTCGGCCCTGATGAGGGAGAACGATGTGGCAGAGCAGTGTATCGAGGTGAGTACTAGGGGAAGAACCCAACCAATTGGGAAATATGATTAAAATGTAAACTCCTTCGACATTATAGATTTCGATATGTAAACTGGTATCAATATCCACAACAATTACTTAAGGGCCAATTTCAGATGAATATTTAAAGGGAATTTAAGTTTAATTTTGGATTCTTATTTAAATGCCATTAAGATTTCGTTGGGTTTCAGATCAACTTTATTTAAATATGCCCAACAAGTGGCAACACTGTTGCTTGTTCCCTGAATTGTTTTTGCATTTGTTCGTTTTTTTTTACATTTATAAAACAACCCATCTATCATTCTTGGTTGGGCCTAAGTGTTCGGTTATTTAGTCTCTTCTATACAGAGACGGAGATCGCGTTCCTATTTTGGTTTAGTCCTGCATGAGAACAAAATGTAATGTCAAGAATGTTCCCACAAAAGAACTATTTAAACGAGAACAAAAGTATTGAGAGCAGTTTGAACGGGAACAAAATGAGAACAAAAGGTTCGGGAACGTTCACAAGAAAAACAGAATGAGAGCGAAACTTTCGGGAACGTTTTCAATGAGAACGAAATTATCGAGAACGTTTTCAAAGAGGAATGTTAAGCTAGAGAACAAAACGACGGCAAACGTTTTGAGATCTTGAACGTTAAGAATGAGGAGGTTGTCTCACAGTCCTTCTGATCGCAAATCTAGCTGGACGGAACTATTTGAACAAATACTCTGATGGATTTTTACACCAATTCTTATGTAGGGGATTTTTGGAACGCTGATTACGAATCTGAAGTCACTTACCAAAAATTCAAATTAGCGGATCCAATATGGCGGACGAAAATTTTAAAGAAGTTTCTGGTTCGCTGATTACGAATATAAAGTCATTCACCAAAAATTCAAAATGGCAGATCCATTTGTGGATGAAAAATTAAAAATATTTTTAGATTTCTATGAAATTGGCTATATGGGGAATTTATTTATTATTTATTTTATTTCCAACTCATAGTAACAATCACTAAAGTTTTTTTTTTAAATAATTGAATATAACAGATAATTCTCTAATAAATAAGTATCATAATTATGCACCACTCACGTATTGACAAGTTTTGACTATTTATTTTATTATTATTTGATTTAAATNGTATCATAATTATGCACCACGCACGTATTGACAAGTTTTGACTATTTATTTTATTATTATTTGATTTAAATTATATTTTTATAAAAAAACATAGTTTGCTCTTTAACAAAAACCGTATTAATCCAAGTTCCAAGTTGTGCAATATTTAAAAAAAAAAAAACAACGAAGTTTCTTAAAAATTCGATATTTCTAATTATACTTCTTAGGACCGCTTTCTCGACTGCCTGTTAAAATTTGACGGCCAGTTTGCTTTATCGACTTTTTATCGATTGCATACATGTGAAGTGCTATGCTCCTTATGTGACAACTCTCATGCACACTATGTACTATGGCGTTCCGTTGGCGCTGGCGTCGCTTTGACAGCAGCGCGAGTAACGCCCGAGCTTGCTACAATGAACGCTTAACAGAGAATACTTTGGTCACTAAATTAACATACTAGCGGTAGATAAATCACAATTTTATATCAATAATTGCATTAAAAACTGTATTTCTTGCTCGCATTTGATTAAAAAGGAAAACTAAATCACATAATTTTGATTATTTGGAACAGCTGACGAACGACGCGAGAGCGGGCCATCTTTCTACGTCGTGTTGACGTTGGCGTTGCCAACTTTGGTTGTCTGGAGACTTTCATATAAATGCATGTATTCATAGTCAGCTGTCGAAGCGACGCCAACGCCAACGCAACGCCAAAGTTGTATGTAAACGGGCCTTAACTGAACTAGAAGACTGTTTGGGTTTTGATTTTTACGTAAAAATGGTATAGTAATGTAAAGTATGCATAACTGTGCTATTACAAGCATGGGAGCGACAAATTTAACAGGCAGTCAAAGTACCAGTTATCTTTAACAGGCATTCAAAAAAAAACGGGCCATAGAAAGATTTTGCGGTTTTTACCCCATTCAATTTTAGAAACACAAAGTGAAATTTTTAAGTAGCTAGGGCCTTCTCCGTTGATTTTTGGCATATTTTTCCTCCATATAAAGAATTCATCGAAAATACTTGATATTATTTTGAGATTTGACATGTCATCACTAAAGTGTAAATATCTAGTCTAAATTGTTAGACATGGTATGAAAACGTAACCTCTACATTTATGAAGGTGCAAAGAATAATATGCAAGTAGTTTCATAACGGCCTTCAGCGGCCTTTACTTTTGCTACTCTTTAATTTATTATTATTTTTTTTTTAACTAATCAAAACGACGAATTTTCAGTATAAATTTATGTATACCAATGTGGACATAAATTGCTTTATGACTACTGAATATATAGGTAGGTATAAGTGTAGTTTTTGGTTTTAAAGTCAATTTATAATAATAGAGTTCTCAAATAGACGGCGTCGACTTACCTTTGTTTGTTTTGTTCCAAATGTTTATTGCTTTAATAAATGCAATTTATATTTAAATATATTGTCTGGAATGTATTCCAAGTATCATAAAGTAATTTAAAAACAAATAAAATTTTGACTTTCGTCTGCTAAATCTGCTATTCGAACCACTGTGCGTCTGCGTGTTGGGATAAAAAAAAAAAACTACAAGAACGACATTTAGTTTCGATCGTACCTTTTGTTCTCGGTCCCTGGTTCTAATAGATCTCCAGTGAAAAATATCCAGCGGACGCTTGCAGAAAAGTAACGAACGATTCTCTCTCAAATTAGAGCAAAAACTTTGCAAGGTTTAGGTACGACTGATCGAAATTTTGTTTTCATTTAAAAAACAATTCAATCTGTAACAGAAACCACATTAACTAAAGTTTCGAAGCTTGCAAAAATTGCAAAAAAAAAATTAATCAAACTTCAAAAAATAGTCGAAGAAAGTGCAAGTTTCAAGTCGTTAAAAATTACCGTTGATTTTCTAGAACTTCTTTTTTTGCCGAGGGTTGTTGCGCATTTTCTTTCATATAACACATGATCAATTTTTTTTTTTTATATGAAAAAAATCCACAACACCCTCAACAAAAAAAATTCTAAAAAATCAACGGTAATTTTTAACGACTTGAGACTTGCACTTTCTTAGACTACAATTGAATGTAGCCTGTTAGCTGCGAACGATATTTGGAAATTTTGATGACAATTTTTTGAAGTTTGATTAATTTTTACTGCAAATTTTACACGCTTTGAAACTTTTATTATTGTAGTTTCTGTTACAGTTGAATTATATTTTAAATGAAAATTATTAAAAAAAAATATATATATATAATTTCCAAATAAGATTTTCAACCCTAAGGCAAGATTTTGAGCGTCAATTCGAAATTCTAAATACGCAATTTTTGTCTACTCGACTAGACTCGCCGCTCATTGCGCGTCCTCTGCCTTATAGTCAAATTAATTGAAGGCAATTTTTCAAATGAGGCGACAGTGTCAACATCTTTCTTCTCGCTCTAATTACTTCATCTGGTATAATTCCGCCATGGTTCAGAGATACTCATGAACCGCTTCTTGTACCGGTACACGTTTTTCGAACCACTGAACCGAACCGCTTCGATTTTTAGAACGGTTTGCAGCCCTGATTATCACCGACTAATTCATATCGACAATAGTAACGATATAAAATATTATGGACACGTTTACGATAACTATCGAATAATATGTATATCGATAAATAACACTAGTTTACAGCAAAAATTTTCTATGGATGCCTCTAACCAATTCTTATGTAGAATTGCTTGGCGATTCCGAAAATCGAGATAATTTTTTTTTCTATGGATATTTTTTCGAGATATTTGCAATTTACCGTTAGTCAGCTTAAAAGATAGTGGTTTCACTTCACGTATGTCTTACGAACCAATTGAATAATCGTAATACGAGATACGGAAAATGAAAGAAAATAAAATTCTCTCTAAACCTAAATTCATTAGTAGCTTAATTTTTGCAAAACATTTACACATTTTTTAATTTTTTCCCTATTAAAATTGGAATTTTTTCATAAAAAAGACAAAAACAAAAAATCTAGAATGAATAGTGTGTATAAATAGTTTATGAAAAATTTCATTGCTTTCATTTGCTGTATCTCGTATTACTATTATTAAATTCGCTCGTAAGATATACGTGATTAAGTGGAACCACACTTTTTTTTTTAAGCTGAATAACGGTAAATTGCGAATATCTCGAAAAAGTATCCATAAAAAAAATTAACTTGTTTTTTGAACCAGCGAGCGATTCTAGATACAAATTGGATAATGGCGTCTGGAGAACAAAATCAATACAAATTTTTGGATTAAATTAAATTTATCGTTTTCATGTTAACTCTGTTGACGGTATTAAATATTTGGCCAATACATAGTTTATTGCTGAATTTATAAAAAAAAACTATTTTTCAAAATCTTAAAGTTTACCGTATTTGTCACATACTTTTGCCCCTTCTACAGATTACACCAAACAAAGTACGCCGCATTGACAGCGAATCGCATACTATGGCCACTTTGACCATTCTGACAGACGATGAGTCGTCTAACACCAAATTGATAACTACGTCACCCACCATTTTTGGTGGCAATCACCACGTTGTGGATATAACTAACGACGTTGTGCAATCGCAGAACGCACCCATTACAATGGACCTCTCTTCGGCAAAGGCCTCCATACATCGTCCGCGCAAACAGCGTCACGAGCACTTGCTGGCCATACCCCTGGACGAAGAGGATCCAATTCAGTTCGATTTGAATAACGTCGTCGCCGAAAATCGCCCCCCATCGAATGAACTCGCTACAGCAGCAGCAAAAGCGGTTGTAACGCACTCAGACCAGTTGCCGGCGAACCCGCCTATCGTCAGACGTCGCGGTCGCCCGAAAAAGAACACTACTGCTGCGGCGACACCCAACGCTGCGCCAGCACTGCCTGCAGCAACACTCAACGAGCCTAGCGTTGGAAGCGCAGACGCAGCGCCCACGGAGATTGTTTCGAAAGCGCGCCGTGTTGAGCTGTTACGCAAACGTCTGGCCATCGACATGGTGGACGCGGAGCAGCCATCCGATGAGCTGGAGAGTGCAGATGTGGCGAATGAGAGTGAGACCTCGACCAGCGACCGTGCTTTACGCACAGGGGCGCGAAGTTCTCGCCGCAGTATCTTGCCGGGTGGTGCAATCACGCCGGTAACGAAAGTCAAGCCTATTGGTGCCAACAACGGCGAGGTTGCTCTGAAGAATCGCAAACGCTCAGCGAACATCTTAAGTGGCGGTGGCAGTACTGGTGCTGTAAACAACAATGCCGCAAATACGATATCGGATGTTGGTGTGACCTCCGTCCTTAATCACTATGGTGGCTCAAATTCCAGTCTCTCGTCGGCCTACTCTAGCAGCTCCATGAGCTCCGCCACTGTGACCACAGCTGCTGGAGCTCAGCTTGGTACCGGTACTAGCACATCTGCGTCCATTTCCTTGGCAACACAAATCGACTTGACAATGTGCTCGTCGTCGTCCTCAGCGAGCAATGGCAGCACCACTGCCACCATGACCATAGCGGGTGCAAGCACTACCACTAGCACTTGCGCAATCAACGCCGCAGTACAAAATCAAAGCAGCAGCTCGATGTTGCCACCAGCCACTATACTGTCCTCCTCGGACCCGGTGCCGGATGTGGTCTTTAGACCCAATGATTTCTCATCGCTTATGGCAACACAGCAGCTGCGCGCAGCGCACACCGCAGGAGTGAGTATTGAAACGGATCTGTTGCGGATGCAGGTAACGCTAAACAGCGCCAAGTTTGATGGGCGCGATGATGAAACTACAAGTCAGAGCGGTGGCGGGGACGGCAGCGGAGCAGATTTATCAGGAGGTAAGTAAAAATAAATGCCGAAATGGTGCATGACCTGGGGGCAGTGATTTAGACTCAAAAAGTTAAAAAAAAAATGGAATTGGCATTGAAGCTCGCGATATAGTATGTACACACTATACATATCGTCGTTTAAAGTACAAAACCGGGTATCGTCGTTCTGCAAAACCGCGTAACTGACATTTTTTGCCAAAAATTGAATTTGCTCAATCCTTATCCATTCGTCCTGAAATATACTAGCCAGAAATGCGCGATTGCTTTATAAAAAAGAGAACCATTTTGAAATATGAGTGTTTTTACTCTCTAGAAAATAATTTATGTGAAATTACACACGGTTTTGCATTTTGTTGATACGCGGTTTTGTACTTTAAACGACAATATGTAAATCTATATATTTTTTTTTCTATTTTCAGATGACTCCACAAGTCCGATGGGGACTCCCGTGGGTCGTGGACGCGGCGGTCGTGGTCGTGGGCGCGGTTCTGTTCGTGGCAGCGCACGTGGTAGTCGGGCGCATCGTTTGGGACGTGGCGCCAGCGCGGTCGCCAAGCAAATCGCACTGAGCAGACCACGCTGCGTTGGCGGTCTGAAGCATACACCCGATCCAGATCGAATGAAAGGCCTTTTTAGTCCGGTATGTAGCCCATTTTACTATACTATTTTAAATGCTGTATATGTACAAGTATAATTGATAGCAGTTTTAATTATAAAAATCCCGCTCAATGAACGCACAAGTGCCGGCGCTCCACGCAATGGCTCTGATTATATGTATTTACAGTTATATTATTTTTTACCACGTTTATATCAACTCGCGATATTTGTATTTTTTTTTTGTTTATTTGCATTCTTGCTTTCTTTGGCTTTCTTTTTTTTTTTTGCTATCACATTTCTGGTTTACTGCTTCGTAAATTCACTTTTGCATTATCACTTATGTGAAGCAAACCATAAAAAAATACACATCCATATGTATGTAGTATATACACACACAATCTTTGTGCACGCATCGTATCTGCTCGTCGAAGGGGCGTTTATTGGTGCTTGAATTACTCGTTCCGACGGCACGACATACGTCACCATCGACGCATACCAGTTCTTAAGCATTGAATATGAGAAAATTTTCGGTGTGCGATGCGAAGTGGTGGCTTTTTTGTGTTTCTCTTTGTGCTCCGTTTTTCTTCATAGCGATGTATGTATATTGTCCGAACTCACCACCCCGTCACCATAGTATAATGGATATGATTTTTCGCCGTGGGGAATTTGCAAATAGTGGCTTCCCCAGCTACAAAAATTTCTCCTGCGCTGTGTACCCAAATGAGGGAGGTGAAATTGNCTGCAAATAGCGGCTTTCCCCAGCTACAAAAATTTCTCCTGCGCTGTGTACCCAAATGAGGGAGGGGAAATTGAGCCAGCCCCTCATGGGTGTTAGAGATAGATATGAATAAGGTAAGCACAGTGACCAAAAGGTCTACTGTGCCCTCAGCTTATCACAACACTGTATCCAGCCCCAGAGACTATGAATTTTAGAATAGATAATAGGATAAGCACTTCTACGTGTGCTTCTTTCATGGGTGTTGCAGCTTCGTTGTGTGCTTTCGTTTATATCTGCCCTAACAGGCAGCAGAGGTGACGAACTCCAGCGTAGTAAAGTAGTTGCTGTTGCCAAATCTAAACTACATTTTCAGTTAATTAATTACTTATGCAACAAACGCAACCACCTGCGCTTCTGTGCTTGAAATGCTATTTTCCAAGCGGTGGAGTAGGTGCATGCGATGGTGCGTGTACAAATTAAGAAATTATATGCGCTTTTAATGATTCAAGGCTTTTTTAATACTGCTTTTTACATTTTTACCATTTTAATTGATAAAAGCTCTACTTTGCAATACTTTCCCCTTCAAACAGTCCCCACAAGTCTTTGAAGAGGATACTCGCATGAGCGCCGACTTGAATCAGACCCAAATACAGCTGCAGCCGGAGCCCCAAACTCCTTTGAGGTAAGCGTGCACTTATCGAATACTATTTTTGCAATTGTTTTTTATTTTGGGAATGCTCCATATTGATAGGCAACCCGATTTTCTTAACAATGATGAGTCTCAGTCCTCAGTGTTGAGCACGAATAGCATTTTAGATCCCAACACGGTGGCTGCAGTCCAAAATGGCAGCGCTATTAAACGTCCAAAGAAGAAGAAAATGGAAGTTTGCGTTGCCGAAGAGTAAGTTTACAAACTTTCCTACTGATATGCAGATTTTTAAAGTGATGTAAAAATATTCCAGCGCTGAAATTACTGTCTCAGCAATTGCCGAATATGATTGGCCGCCTCCAAAGGGGTGTTGCCCATCGAAAAATCGCGATACTTTCATGATTCAAGAACAGGTCGCTTTGTATTTAGGTATAAAGAGCTTCAAGAGAAAGNTAGATAATAGGATAAGCACTTCTACGTGTGCTTCTTTCATGGGTGTTGCAGCTTCGTTGTGTGCTTTCGTTTTTGTCTGCCGTAACAGGCAGCAGAGGTGACGAACTCCAGCGTAGTAAAGTAGTTGCTGTTGCCAAATCTAAACTACATTTTCAGTTAATTAATTACTTATGCAACAAACGCAACCACCTGCGNGAGATAATAGGATAAGCACTTCTACGTGTGCTTCTTTCATGGGTGTTGCAGCTTCGTTGTGTGCTTTCGTTTATATCTGCCCTAACAGGCAGCAGAGGTGACGAACTCCAGCGTAGTAAAGTAGTTGCTGTTGCCAAATCTAAACTACATTTTCAGTTAATTAATTACTTATGCAACAAACGCAACCACCTGCGCTTCTGTGCTTGAAATGCTATTTTCCAAGCGGTGGAGTAGGTGCATGCGATGGTGCGTGTACAAATTAAGAAATTATATGCGCTTTTAATGATTCAAGGCTTTTTTAATACTGCTTTTTACATTTTTACCATTTTAATTGATAAAAGCTCTACTTTGCAATACTTTCCCCTTCAAACAGTCCCCACAAGTCTTTGAAGAGGATACTCGCATGAGCGCCGACTTGAATCAGACCCAAATACAGCTGCAGCCGGAGCCCCAAACTCCTTTGAGGTAAGCGTGCACTTATCGAATACTATTTTTGCAATTGTTTTTTATTTGGGATTGCTTCACATTGATAGGCAACCAGATTTTCTTAACAATGATGAGTCCCAGTCCTCAGTGTTGAGCACGAATAGCATTTTAGATCCCAACACGGTGGCTGCAGTCCAAAATGGCAGCGCTATTAAACGTCCAAAGAAGAAGAAAATGGAAGTTTGCGTTGCCGAAGAGTAAGTTTACAAACTTTCCTACTGATATGCAGATTTTTAAAGTGATGTAAAAAAATTCCAGCGCTGAAATTACTGTCTCAGCAATTGCCGAATATGATTGGCCGCCTCCAAAGGGGTGTTGCCCATCGAAAAATCGCGATACTTTCATGATTCAAGAACAGGTCGCTTTGTATTTAGGTATAAAGAGCTTCAAGAGAAAGTATCCCGATCTGCCACGTCGGCAAATCGATATGGAAGAGCGTAATTGGCTGCAGGAAAAGGGCCTTGTTTCGGAACGTATGTGCGATTTGGGCATTACGGCCGTTTGGGCATCCGACATTCTGGACATTATGTATACCGATTTCTATGAGAAGTACGAGGAGTACAAGGACTTCATACGTCAAAAGCACCTGCGCGAAATCGAGGCGAAACAGAAAGCCTTGGGGCTTAATGTGTCTGGACGTGGACTGCAAGTGCGTGAACGTGCGCTCCTCTCGACGAGCAAATGGAACTCTTACTTCAATAGAAGGTAAGAATTAGAAAAAAAAATATTCGAAGAGCAACCCTTTAAAATACCGCCATAAATTTCCTTTCAGTCGCAAGGAGGAACGTCTAGCTTGTCTGGACTTGCAAACATTAACAATGAACGTGCCATTGCCCGCGACAGCGCCCACCGCCACACTGGTATATCGGCCTGTAGCAGAGGCAGTGGCAGAGGCTGCCAAAGCCGAGCAAATACCTGAACCACCAACCTTGCTGCGACCGCGCGTCACTACCACACCCCGGGAATCGGACGCCAATTACCCCGTAGCTGTGGTGCCCGGCCAGTATTGCACGAATTATCGCCAGTACACGCCGTTTGAGTTGAGGTAAGATGCAGAACAAATATTTCTTTTTGTTCGCGGGCTGCAGTGCATTTTTTGTCTGCCTTTCAGTTGCTTCCCGCTTAACACAGTGCTGCAGGACCCGCGTTTGCTGGTTGAACGTGCGGAACACACAACCGGACAGGCGGACACTACAGCGTCGGATATAAAGCCACGCGGGAATACAAGGATCGTCGAACAAACTGACACGAATGCCGACGTGGTGAAGTGTGAAGACAACACAAAGACACTGAATACTATGCGTCGCAGTGGGCGAGCACGCTTTGCCCCGAAGGCGAAATCACCGGGAGCAACGCTTAAGGAAGAGTACGACAGTGCAACTGAGTCGGCAATGTCTTCATCGGAGAGCGAAAGTGAAAGCGAATCGGTAAGAAAGAGAAAATAAAAATTACCATGAATTTGATTGAGCGTGAACTTTGACCCATTACAGGGCTCAGATACCGACTCGGATAGCTCGAGCGATGATACTTCCTCATCATCTGAAGAGGAGGGTGATGCGCATGCCATTTGCGGCGTTTGCCAGCGTGAGCAGAATCGCAATATGAAAAACCTGCCCGAGGTCTTTATACGATGCTACACATGTCAGCGCAGAGGTAATTCGTCAGCTTTGTAATTCGTATTCAAGTTTTGATTTGACAATTTATGCCCTCTTTCTTTGCAGTGCATCCGAGTTGCATTGAAATGCCGCATCGCATGGTTGCGCGGGTGCGCAACTACAACTGGCAATGTGTTGACTGCAAATGCTGTATCAAATGTAGAGGAAAGAAGGATCAGAACAAAATGCTGTTCTGCGAGCAGTGCGATCGGGGCTTTCACATTTACTGCCTGGGCATCAAAGCCGTCACAGATAGTGAGTCCCAGCAAATCTCAAAACGCCTTATGACTGTATTAATAACATTCACTTTTTTTTTACAGGTCGCTGGAGTTGTGAACGTTGCAGTGTTTGCATGCGTTGTGGCGCCACAAAGCCAGAGGGTTTGCCACAACAACAAACCCAGATATCGCCGAATGGCGAGAAGGTCAAGCAGATCAAGCACAAGAAGGTCAAATGGATTAACGAGTATCGAATAGATCACATCACGAAACTGCGTGAGCATTGCTCCATGTTGTGTGTACCATGCGGGCGCGCAAAAGGTGCGAAGCGCGTGCAAATAGCCAGCCCATGCGTTAGCGGCACAGCAGCGACGGCTGCTTCTAATCTGCCATCACCCCCCGCCACGGCGCAACAAAAGCAGCCAGCGAAAACATTATCGCAAAATCAAACAACGACCAACGCAGCCGCAGAAGCTGCAAATGCGAGTGTTGGAGCCGCCAGCAAAGGCGCTGCCTCTGCTGCATCTGCAATGAACAAAACCAGCGCTGCCGGCACGCTGCCACCGCCGCCGCCGCCCGTTGTTGCCTGAGTGGGGGTGATACGTTACTGCCCCAAGCGTAGTAGCCTAAACGCCAATATGTAGTAGCAGCAATAAGAAAAAGTCGCGTGATATGTTGGCGCACGCGTGAGCTGCACTGTGTCACAGCGAGGAGCTTTGGATGTGTGAGATGAGAATGCAATTTCAAATTTTGCTAAAACATTCGCAAGTCCGAAGCGGAAATTTACATTTTGATTAAAGTTTAAGGAAAAATACGGTTTTTAATGCGCATAGAGCATATTATTGCATAGTTTACGACAAACTTGACGCCTTTCATAAAACTTAACACTTAGTTTAGCATTTAATATCAACAAAAGATAATTTGTAATTTTTTTTTTAATTAAGTTAAATGTTCAGTTTCGTTTAATAAACAATATTTAATTATAAGCTCAATTTATGGAATATACGCGCGATTCACCTACGGTAAAATGTTAGGCCTAAAGGGTTAATTTATCCAATGTATTATAGTGCAAACAAAGAAAAAATAATATAAAAGAAGGGAAATGTTTCCGTACATAATTACAATAATAAAAATGAGAAATTTAAAACTAAAATCATATAACAAAATATTTGCCGCATGCAAACACAATCATGTCTATATAAAATGTCAAATAATGCACATAAGAGTTGATTTAAGTCTTAAGTAAAGCATCAAAAGCAAAAAATTTAAGCTAAAATAAAAATCTAACAAAATGTATCAAAAATATTTAACTAAATAATGTGTAAAGTTCTCTTTGTATACAACATTGTAAACTATTTGATGTTGCAAAAACTTATAGACAAGAATAATTTAAACAGAAAAGAAGAAAGCAACCATGAGCTGATCAGCAAAAACTGCTCAAAGCGCTGAAGTGGCATTTTTCGGGAGATGGAATTCGAGTAGGCCTTCACTGGCTTCAAATACCATATTGTAAACTTATTTTTTACCGTAATTTTCTCAAGTAAGGTTTTTAAAACATGAGAAAAGTGCTTTTTACTACGTGTATTCTTGAGCAGCTAGTTGGAATAATTTGTAAATTGTTATTAAGTTTTTTAATGTTCATGAAATGCTTTATTTTTTCTCATTTTTTATCCAATGACATAATTTCCTGCTGCTGCAATGTTTTGAATGCTTCTTAAGAGCATGTCAGACGAGGCAATATTTCTAAGTTTTTCATGCAATTCACTGTTAAATTGAGAGAAAGAAATTTTATTTCCGACCTTTCTGACACTGCGGGAAATAAGTTTCAGAAATTAATGTTGCAAGGTGTGACTGCAGCTCAAAGTGCGCCAATCGATTTCGCAAATATATTTCAACTTGCTCGTGCTGTACTAGCAATATTTAGTTCTGCTGACTGCTGCAAGTGCTATCAAACTAATCGAGTGTTACCTTGTAACACTGATCGTGAGTTTGTGGGAAATAATAACGGATAATTTAAATAAAATAACAAAAATGCTTTAAAAAAAATTATTTTGCGGATTTAATTATTTAGCTACAAATAATAAACTAATCTTCAAATTGAAAGTAAAGTTTAAGAAAGAGAAATAGCAAATAACTAGCAAAGCGGCTCACGGTTGCATTTTAGTGCCGGGAAAGATTTCCAGAAATTCATTCGCTATATGAACATCCAAAAATAGGTTTAAGAAATTTTTCCCGCGACTCGCCTTTCGGCAATAAAAAACTCTTTTCGAAAGCTACTTTACATGCAAGGTGCGACTGCTCATGCAACTGTAATTTGTAAATTTCTCAATTTGACAGTGTTTTCGAAATATCTTGCATTGTCACGTCTGACACGCTCTTTATTTACATGCTAAGCATTTAGTTTTTTCTAAATATGGACATCTAATTATTTCAAGATTTCGCATTCTCTTGAAGCACTTTCGAAATGCCACTACTTTTGTCTGCGATTATTAGGTTTGCGACCAGGTATGTACATTTAGGAGTACTTCACAGTTTCAGGCTTGTTTTCAAAGCAGAATATAGTAAATAAATTAATAAAAAGCGTACATATACATATGTATATGTATATATATATATATATATATTTAGATTCTCTCATGGATCCTGTATACTTTATTATTTTTTAATAATTAGTTTTTAAATACCAACTAAGCATAAAGAAGCAAACGAATACATAAGTCTATGACAGAGAAGCGCACTGCCCGACTCTACACGCCCTCCCGCATCTCGCAGTAGTTGTGGCCCATCGGCAGCGGCATGCGCTCTTATTATTAATTAACTGTAATAAAGAAATTCATTTACCCAAATAAATGCTATGATGATACTATATTAATGATATGACGATAATTATAATAAAAATAAAATACGCAGTTATTTTTCTACCATAATTTATTTTGCCAAAAATATGAATGTTGGAATTGGTATAAGCAAAAATTAAAAAAAAGTCAGTATTGCTCTTCATTATAATAATGATTGATTTTGTTAAAATTTTCACATAATTTTTTTTTTAGTAACTATTTCTCAATCAAGCAAAAAATCTTGATTAGCATCCTAAATGCATGAAATAGCCACACAGCCCAACGCTGACTCCAACAGAGACAGCAATTCGTGTCCCGTACTCCACAACAATAAAAGCGGTCTTACTTTGCACTTTTTGCGGTAACAGCGCATTCTCTTCTCCAGGTTTTTTCCCTTGCGCACGCATACGATGTCATCCGAACGCATGTCCAACGTAGGACAGTAATCGTGCTCGCCGTCCGCAATTAAAATGACTCGTTCGTAATTTACACCCATTTCACGCCTCTTCGTCATATAGTGCTCCAAAATGGTACGCTTGCACATATTGGGTGGACTCAGTGGACATTTAGTGGCATGGTATGGTCGTACATGCAGCCCATCGCTGGAGACAACGTAAGCAGGATTCGTGAAAATTGCTTTTATACATTTCGTTAGCTGATGATTGGCCAACCAGTCTTTAATGAAGATAGAATTGGCATCGCTTATGATGATGATGTCATATTTGGGATCACACGAGTCATGAAGATGCTGTACAAATTCCACGATACTTGGAACGGGCGGTATGGTCGCAATCAGGCGGCGTAGTTCGCCCGCAGAGAATCCCATGGAGCGTAATTTATTGAGCAATGTATTCGTGTAGTCGATCCAGCCAACTTTGGTGAAATTATCCTCCTTGGGGCGTCGATATGTAGGCAGTAAATCGCGGAGAAGATAGGTTGTGTCTAGTGAGGTCAGTGTCTCGTCGAAATCCAATACCAGTAATCGGCGTGTAGGTGGACCAAAAGCCATTTGGTTATTCTTTTTTGAAATATGTGTTATTATTTCTTATGTTACAATTAAAATTTTAGTGGGAAAATAATTTCATTTATTTACCTTTTATTGTGATTAGCCGAAAAATCGAATTTGCATTTAGAAACAAGTAATTTTAAGCAAAAAAAAACCGACTTCAATTCTCATATACAAATTTAAGAGTACCGTTACTTTCTTTATGATCCAATGATCGGATCTAAACCAAATTAGTATGGGAACACCTTCCTTTTAAAAAAAGGACTATAGACTATCATGAATAAACATTACCTGAGGATTTTGTATATTAAATGGCGGAGTTGAGCTCTCCTCTCCAAAAAGTGTCAAACAGTTTTTTCGAAGTTCGAATTTCTTCCTCCCAAGTTTTCGGCGAAAATGCTACTCCTTGGAAGTTATTTATTGGAAGATTTCTTTCTCGGGAGAAACAAATTTCCGGAGGACAAATTCTCCGGGAGTATTAAGAATTGCCCTAATGGTTAATTCTACAACGAAAACCATAAAAATCAGAGTTTCAATCCCTGTGTAAAATTAAAGACAATTCTGCAAAATATCACAAAAATATTGCAGTTTTAAAAAAGAAGAAAAAAGTTTAGAATGCGGTTTTTAGCCCATTAAATTTTAGTACGATAAAATGTAAATCTTAGGTAGCTAGGACTTACCATTGACTATAGGCAATTTTTTTTGAAGGTGTCGCTCATTTCCTTAATATAATATAATGTTCCGCCGAAAACAAGCCAACAAAAGTTATGTAAGCCCGAGCTACCTCAGACTTGAACTTTTTTGTACTAAAATTTAATGGGCTAAAAACTGCATACCAAATTTTTTTTTTTAATGAGTAATGAAAAAGTACAATATTTCAATTTGCGGAATTTTCTTAAATTTTCCACTCCCTTCGGAACCCTGATTTTTTGGGTTTTTGTTGTAGAACTAACCATATTTTTATAAAAATGTGCAGGAAAATAAACAATTTAAAAAAACATGTATATATATATATATAATATTTGCCCGTATTGCAAAAAACTTGCTGTACCTAAAATTTATTGACTGACTGTATATGATAACGATAATAGCACAAGGGGGAATGGCGATTGTCTTTTTATAAAAAGCTGGTAGCCATGGTAGTGCGCACTTTTAAGGCCTGCATGCAGCTCTCAAGAAAAGCNTTTTTCATGGCAGCAATACACTCGGAGGTTTGCCATTGCCATGGTAGTGCGCACTTTTAAGGCCTGCATGCAGCTCTCAAGAAAAGCAAAAACTCCATATAAAATGAGGTACAATAAATGGCTAAGAAATTTTCTTGAGTCAAATTTCCTTATAAATAGGTCTAAATATTTCCAGTGTAGGTGAGGAGGAAGCCTTAAAACCGTGTTTTTTATTTATTTAAGGAACTCTTTGCTTATTCTTTTTTCGAGGTTGGCAATGATGCTACTTCACATTCCCGATAGGGACGTTCCGATACCACAAAGTATCGATACCTATTCAAATGAGTTTACTGAAATCCCTATTTCGATACTACTTAAATGAGTGAACCGAATGTATCGATACCTACTTATATCTATAATTTTTCATCCTTTTAGATGCAACAAAGCGAAAGTAATTTCCAGGCGTTATCTGTGACATACCTTTTGCGACACCTGAGCGCCCTATTTAAGAATTTGATTGAAAAAGAAAACCTTTCCAGAACACCCTATTTAAGAATTCGGTTAAAAACCACCCTATCTCAAATATTTTCAATATATTTTCAGTTGAGGTATCGATATGTATATATGTTCATTAGTAACACTAGAAGTAATACGATTACTTAGAAAAAAAATTTTACGTTTGAAAGGTTCCCAAAAAACGTTACTGCTACAAAGCATTGCTTTCATTTTGCTGTGGTATCACTAACTTTGTAAAAATATATCCACACTTTAGATTTTGGCGGTGCCATTGCTTAAAACAATTATTTTTCATAAAAACGAAGCAAATATTTTCCATAGAAAAATATGCCCAACAAGAAATGGCACTTGCTCAAATTGATTCGATATAAGACTTATCTTTCGATACCGAGTAGGTATCGAAACAACGATTCGAGTAAAAAAAGTAGTTGGTATCGAAGCAAAAGTATCGAGTACGTACTCGTATTTACTTGTATCGAAACATACCTAATTCCCGATCTGTCATCGTGTTTGTAAAATTCGGCTGCCATTTATAGTAGTTCTGCTGAAACATTTTAAGTAAGAAAACTGCTGTTTTAAAGGAGTTTTACATTAGAATTACCCAAAAAAAAACGCAAAAAGTGTATAGCAAAGTTTCTTAATAACTTTATCAACAAAAGCCGCCTCTTCCATTCTCGTATTTGCGGCATTGGTTTAGTTTTGTCAGCTAGGTACACAAAATATAATTGAACCATGGTGGACGCTGCCCGTCAAATGTTGGACGAGCTCATGGGCCGTAATCGAAATTTACATCCATCGGAGGCGCCACGTAAAATTAGTTGGGATGATCCTGATGTAAGTATGAGGACTAAAATCGTTTATAAAAATATAGGCAGACGGCGTTGGTTGGTGCAAAATCGATAGCACATGCATGCGCAACGATAACCAAGCGCAGGCTATGAAGCATGTAACTACAAGTAACATTGAAATAATTCGTCTTGTTTCCTATGGGTTCTTTGCAGTTTTGCCAATACTATGTTGTAAAATTTTGCCCACATGACCTTTTCATAAACACTCGCGCGGACTTGGGGCCGTGCACACAAATCCATGATGACGAGGCAAAAAGGTTGTACGAAGAGGCACGTCCATCTCCTCGTAAGCGTTCTTACGAAGATGAGTTCTTGCGATTTTGCAACAACATGTTAAATGATGTTGATAGAAAAATACAAAAAGGCAAACAACGACTCCAGCTCATGCAACGCGATCAGCCCATACCCACCATACCGCTTTCCAAGTACGAGGAACAGTTAAATAATATGAACGCACGCATAAAAAAGTTGCTATCCGAAGCAGAAGAAGCTGGTATTCGTGGGGATGTTGATCAGGCCAAGGACCTAATGGCTCTGTGCGAGCAATTGAAAGACGAGAAGGACGCACTAATGGCGCAACACGAGCAACATCAGCAGTTGCATCAGCAGACAAATGGCGCAATGAAAGATTCTATTACAAACTCCCCACCGCAAAGCATAGAGCGTGAAAAATCACCGAAAAATGAAGAGGGTGCTAGCACAAGTGGAAGTGAAAAGAAAATACTACCGTGGATGCAAGATTTGGGCACTCTACCTGAAAAGCAAATGGAAGTTTGTGAGATTTGTGGAGCTTTTCTGATTGTTGGTGATGCGCAACAACGCATCGAAGACCATCTCATGGGAAAACAACATCTAGGCTACTCCCGCTTACGCAAGGCCGTAGAAGAAATACACGAGCGTAGGCAAAATGATCGTGAAGAGGAGGAGCGCAAGAGGCGCGAAGAACGTGAACAACGCAGTGTACAGCGAAACGCTTTTGGTAATCATAATGATCGCAGGCGGTATGTATGGTTATGTATTCAGTTGAAATTACCATTTTCATATGTTTTTTAACAGCAGCGAGCATCACGATCATCGTGACCGCGACCGCGAACGTGAGCGTGATAATCGTGGACGTTCACGTGATCACAGTAGCCGACACTCGGCCGACCGACACCGTCGTAAGTCGCATAATTGGAAATATGACAGATTCTCCATCAACTGTTTAACATATTTTAATTTTGGATATAGATCATCATAAATCATCGCATCGCAGACGTTCACATTCGCGCAGCAGTCATCGACGCAGCAGCCGGGATCGTTATAGCCGCAGCCGGAGCCGTAGTCACAGCCGCTATTAATTACACACCAACAACACAAGTTCGTACGTGGCGGATTGAGGTACTCCAAAAAAAAAAGCAAACTATATAAACTTAAAAATCTAGCCTAATCTAATAAAAGAATACTCTCAAGTCGTAGAACAAGGTGAGTACAATTAACATTTTAACAGTATTTCTATTTAGAATTTATATATACAAGTATATTTTTCATATCAATGCGTACATTTAAAAAGAAAACGCGTGCTACATTATTTGGGGGTGTAATTAGTTTTGGGAGCTCAATAAGAGAAGCCCTCTTTCATCTAACATTACGAATGATTTGTGTTTTGTCTAGAATAGGTTGAACGTCACAATATTCATGAAACATGAGCGCCTGAAGTGGTTGGTCAAACGCATATCGAATGAGTTAACTAGTTTAGCTGGTAAACGGTGCATATAGCAGATTAGTCGCAGTGTCAACATAGGATTCACCGTAGAAAAATATAAACCTGCATGCTTTTTGGGCTTTCCGCAAATTTCAATAAAAAAAAAAAACAACAATTGAGTAGTCCACTTGCAAAGTGCGCTATGTAAATTTGTTTCGATTTTTAGTTTTTGGTGGGTAACGTACCAGTATTTAAAATAGTTTCATGTTCACAAACAATTCAGTGCTTTCTATATTCTGAAAAAATAGCATCAAATGTTAATTACTCTTGCAATAGTCGCTATAATACTTACATATGTATGCATTGTACAATTTCAAGTCTCCATCTTCTGATGAACTTAGAAAACTGCAGGAAAACGTGGTAGTTTCGGTGCCTAGTGCAAGACGTCTTAAAAAAGAAGCAGACCAACCTTCATGGAAGAGAGAACGCGAAAAGCTAAAAAAAGCTAGCTATGTAAAAGTTACTGTTTCAAAACTCGCTATATTCAATTTTTATATATAAAATTTGCAAAAACTACCACACTGCGATTTTGTTTTTTTAATTTAGGCTCTTATTTATCCAAATATTCAGATAAAAAGAAATATACAATTTGGGTGTTACTTGTTGTTGTAGACGATTTTTTTATTAATTTATGGCTTACTATTATTTTTATAACGCTGTTTGCACATAAGTGGACTACTAAATTAAATTAAATATTTTAAAATTCCCCGAAAGTTTAAATTCGGTGTAGCAAACATATTTCCCTAGTTATTTTTATTTTAATGCAACATTATTAATGTATGTAGAATTGGAAAAAAAAAATAAAATTAACTTTT